CGGAACCGACTCGACGGCACTTAACAACAAATAACAACATCAGAAGTGAAAGATTCCTAGACAGAAAACTGGAAAGCATTGAGAGATATTGGAGGAAATACAAGTCTGTGAAAGGATCTACTAAATTCAAGAATCAGAAAAGCCAATATTATAAAAATGTCCATTTGCTAAAATTGATTTATAAATCTGGTGCAAAATGGATTTTTCAATACTGAAATTAACAAGGGCAGGTGTTCCCATATCCGTTTTGGTGGAATATGCTCCTGATAGACTGACCTGCCCACAGATAGCACTATAAATTCTAGACAAAATAAGAATCAGCAACTGCCTCAAGTCACCAGAGTGAACGCAAACAGACTTTGAAACAGATTTGGGCGAACTACCTTGCTTTCACAGCTTCTACCTAAGGGTAGGCCATAGTTCCTGTCCTGCAGTGAAAATAAAACTCCAGTAAAACCTGAAGTCTCGCTTTCGGCCAGTGCCACCATCTTGCAGTAATCCCCCAAGATGACGAACACAAAAGGAAAGAGGCGGGGTACCCGCTATATGTTCTCCAGGCCTTTAAGAAAGCATGGGGTCGTTCCTTTGGCCACATACATGCGAATCTACAAGAAAGGTGATATTGTGGACGTCAAGGGAATGGGCACAGTTCAAAAAGGCATGTCCCACAAATGTTACCACGGCAAAACTGGAGGAGTCTATAGTGTGACCCAGCATGCTGTCGGCATTGTGGTGAATAAGCAAGTCAAGGGTAAGATTCTTGCCTAGAGAATTAATGTGCGCATTGAGCATATTAGGCACTCTAAGAGCCCAGACAGCTTCCTGAAGCGAGTGAAGGAAAATGATCAGAAAAAGAAGGAAGCCAAAGAGAAAGGGACCTGGGTTCAGCTAAAGCGCCAGCCTGCACCCCCGGGAGAGGCGCACTTTGTGAGAACCAATGGAAAGGAGCCTGAGCTGCTAGAACCGATTTCCTATGAATTCATGGCCTAACCGGAGTGAAATAAAAGTGGCTGAGGTGTAAAAAAAATAAAAAATCTGCAGTCTCGACTAATTGCGACTAATTGTAATGGTAAAAGTTTTGTAACATAAATGGGAGAGTCTAGGAACAGAGGACCCTAGGATCATCAAGGGAGAAGAGCATGAGTAGAATGTGGGACCCTATCCAGAGAAGCAGCAACACCAGAGATGGAGGCAGAGATGGGGACATGGAGAGAGGGAGCAGCTGAGGACTCTAGACTCATGGAAAGAGAAAGACTGAGTGCTGGCAGCTAGCAGGCAGACTTACAGAATGTGCCCTTTGGTTGTTTAAATGATTATATATTCGTGAGTGTTTTTGTGTACTTCCCCACCTAACCCCCCAAAAAAACAGAGGGAATAGAAGCAAATACTGTTGAATGATGATGCATGGAGGGGATTATAATCATTGCAATGAAATGATGAGTGTAAAACTGATGTTTTCCAATGTAAACTATCACTTAATTCACAATAAAAACTTAAAAAACAAGCCTGCAGTCTCTCTGGCTTGAAGAACTGAAATGTAGAGTTAAGCAATGACAATTGGAAAATGAGGGGGTGTCCAGAAAGGGGGGAGCTAGAGAGGAAAGCCCTAAATTCTGTTTATACACTTAGCCTCAATCTCTGGTTGACCGCTGAATGACGTGTGGAGTAGTCTCCAAGCAGCTCTGGTAAGGAAACCCCAAAACCAAACCTGCTGCCATCAAGCGGATTCCAACTCACAGCAACCTTACAGCTAATGGGTTTGAACTGCTGACCTTCTGGTTAGCAGCCAAGCACTTTAGCCAATATGCCACCAGGTCTCCTTAACTAAAAACAAAGGAGATTTGAGCTGTTGCCCAAAGGGCAGAGTTTGCAATCTGACTCTGAACAAGTTCAACAAATCAGCAAAAAACCAAGACTCTCTCAGATAATACAAGAATCCAGAATCTCCACAAAATAATATGAGACAGGATACAATCCAAAATTACTCAACATATAAAGAAACATGCACATGTGACCCATTTTCTAAAGAAAAGATCAGTAATGGAGATTGACCCCAATACTGACCCAGATGATGGATTTAGGAAACAAAAGTTTTAAAGCAACTATTTTAGCTCTACTCATTCTTATAAAGAATATTCATTGATGTACAAAAAACTTTCTTTTAGTGAATCTAACAAGAACTAGTAGTGTAGCGGTTACGAATGGGGCTGCTAATGTCAAGGTCGGCAGTTTGAAACTACCAGCTGTTCCGCAGGAGAAAGATGAGGCTTTCTGCTCCCGTAAAGATTTGCAGCCTCGGAAACCCTGTGCAGGGTCGCTATGGGTCGGAACTGACTTGACGGTACTTAACAACAAGAAGACATCTTTAGAAAACTAGAAACTATTTTGAAAATGGAAATTCTAAAACTGAAAAAATATTTTAAGTATAAAGTTCAAGGAGGCTGGGCTGTTAAGTGCAAGGTGAGCAGTTGGAATTTACCAGTCGCTCCACAGGAGGTAAATGAAGCTCTCTGCTCCCATAAAGATTTACAGCCTCAGAAACCCTACGCAGGGTCACTAGGAGTCGGATCCCTCTCAGTGGCACACCACCGCCACCACCACTAAGTATAAAGTTCACTTACAGGGCCTAACAAGAGAGTGCAGATGGCAGTGAAGTCAAGGACATCAAGGACTCAACAACATCAAAACTTTATTGATCTGAAGAAGAAAAGGGAAAGAGATGTTGAAAAAACAATAAACAGCGCCTGAGGAAACTATATAGCACACTATTAAAATGCCTACCAATGATGTTATTAGGTTCCATGGAGTGGGTTCTGACTTAGCCACCATATATATATATATACATATACACACATATACATATAAACATATATATACATATACAACATACATGTATATGCAACAGAACAACACAATACCCAGCCCTGTACCGTCCTCACAATTGGTAGTATGTGTGAGTTTTGTATTTCTGCCTGTGTCGATCCACCTTGTTGGGGGGGTCTTCCTCTTTCTAGTTGACCCTCCACTTTATCAAACATGACGTCCTCCTCCAGGGAGGGCAACATGTCCAAGGTACAAAAGATGAAGTCTTGATACTGTCCCTTCGTTGGAACTGATCATACTTCTGATCATACTTCTCCCAAAACAGTCCAATGAAATCTTGGACAACTTCACTCTTCTCTCCATTTATCCACTGATCCAGGTTTGAGGGTTTTCATTTTCTTTACATTGAGGTGCAATCCATACCAAAGTCTATGGTCCTTGATCTTCATCAGTAACAGCTTCAAGTCCTCTTCACTTCCAGCAAGCAAGGTTGTGTCATCTGCATATTGCAGGTTGTTAATGACTCTTCCTCCAATCCTGATGTCATCTTCTTCATAAAATCCAGGCTCAGATGATTTGCTCAGCTTACAGATTGAATATGTATGGTGAAAGGATACACCTTGATGCACATTTTCTGATTTTAAATCATTCAGAATCCCCTTGATCTGTCCCAACAACTGCCCTTTAGTCTTTGTGTAGGTTCCTCATAAGCACAGTTAAGTGTTCTGAACTCTGCATGCTCCACAATGCCGTCCGTAGTTTGTTATGATTCATACATTCAAATGCCTTTGCATAATCAATAAAACATAAGTGAACATCTTTCTGGTATTCTCTGTTGTCAGTTAAGATCAGTCTGACCTCAGCAGTGATATCACTTATTCCATGTTTGCTTCTGAATATGATTTGAATTACAATTCCCTGCTGATATACTACTGTAACTGTTTTTTAATTATCTTCAGCAAAATTTTTCTTGTATGTGATCTTAATATTTGATGATTTCTGTGTTCCGATGGGCCGGCCACCTTTCTTCAGATTGGGCTTAAATAGGAGGTATTGAAGGCTTCCTATTGATTGGCCAGGTAATGATCTTCCATATTTCTTGGCACAAGTGAGTGCCTCCAGCACTGCCTCGGTTTGTTGAAACATTTCAATTTGTATCCCATCAATTCTCGGAGCTTGGTTTTTCACCAATGTCTTCAATGCGGTGTGGACTTCTTTAAATATCATCAGTCTTAAGTCATATGTTGTTTCTTAAAATGGCTGAACATTGACCAATTCTGTTTGGTACAGTGACTCTGTATATTCCTTCCATCTTCTTTTGATGGTTCCTGCATCATTAATTCTTTTGTCCACAGAATCTTTCAATAGTTGCAATTCAAGGCTTGATTTTTTCCTTCAGTTCCTTCAGTTTGAGAAATGTTGAGTGTGTTCTTCCCTTTTGGTTTTTAGTGGCTTGAATTTACTTGATATGCCTTTTCTATCCAAAGTCTTCTTAATTTCCACCAAGTGATTGGATGAGACCATACAAATAAGATATATAGGACTTTAAGACTGGGAGTAGCGTAGTGGTTACAAATCGGGCTATGAACCTTAAGGTCAGCAGTTTGAAACTACCAGCTGTTCCACAGGAGAAAGATGAGGCTTTCTGCACCCATAAAGATTTACAGCCTCTGAAGCCCTGTGCAGGGTTGCTATGAGTCATAACCCACGTCACGGCACATAACAACAACAGCAACAAGACTGGGATTAGTTAGTTTTACCCTCCAGCTAGGTTTAAAAGAAGCCATCTCAGAAGCAGAGACGCAAGATCCCAGGACCATCAAAAAGGAAGAGCGTGAGTGAAGCATGAGAGCTCTACCTAGAGAACCAGCAATGGCAGAGGAGACAGCAAAGACAGCTGCAAAGGCAGTGGCATGGAGAGACGCAGCCATTTCAGGCTCTAGGCCTACAGACTAAGTATAGCTTGAAGAATGTGCTCTTTAGGCATTCACAGACTGGTTAATAGAACTTTCTGACATGTGCTTGAGCAGGGCAGAGACCAAGGGACCATAAGACTGAGAGGCCGAAGACAAGAGAGAGGCATGCCTGTAGTCTGGAAGACAAGAGGCATTCCCGACTGGAGAGCTGCTGCATCCTAAGTTGGTTGATTGGTGATCACATTCCTCACCAATAAGGGGAAGTGAGGGAAAAACAGCAATGAAGTTGCAAGCTAAGCCCTACAACGTTCAATAGACTCCTGTGAACCTGGGTGGAGACCTGGTTGGCCAGCAGTGTGGCAAGACCTGGAGACTCTTGGGCCCAGAGTCAGTGACATAGCCACAGAGGACTATAATGCAGAGTGAAGCGTCCAGCTGATAAGAAGAGAGGGCATATGCACAAGAACACCCACACTTGCAGATAGTACCGGCTTGACCTGGCTTCAATGACTGGATGATCAGAGCTCAACTAGAAGAAGAAAGAAGAGGAAAAAAAAGAGTAATCTGATACAATTTGATGAACTTGACCTACACCTATGGATGCAGTAGCTCAAAAGAGGGAACAAATCTTTACAGCAAGGATCATTCCCACCCCCTCCATACACAGAGTAGATAGGAATGGGCAATTTGGACATTGGCTACCCAAAATGGAGGGGGGCTACAAAGGCAAGAAGTGACTGGCTTACAAGCTTTCAAGAGAAAACCTAGATCCAGAGGGCGTGGAGGAAAGTAGAATCTCCGCTGAGTAGTATCCAATCTGTCTAGGCGGGACCGATGAAAGGAAATGCGGATAGGTCTCTTGTGATACAGTAGTGAATAATTGTTATCAGGACTGCTTGTGAAGGTTGGAAATGTAAAGGTAGACATTTTGTAGCAAGGCGGGGAGTGATTAACTTTGCAGTCTAGGAGCAGAGGTCCCTGGGACCATCAAGGGAGAAGAGCAGAGAGCGGGACCCTACCCAGAGAAGCAGTGATGCCTGAGATGGAGGCAGAGACGATGACATGGAGAGATGGAGCAATTGGGGACTTTAGATCCAGAGAGGGAGAGGGGCTGTGTGCTGACGACCGAGTTGCAGGCTTTTACGGTATATCCTTTGGTTGATGATGCATGGAGGGGATTGCAACCATGGCAATGAAATGATATAGGATAGGATGAGTGTAAAACTAATGTTCTCTCATGTAAACTATCAC